ATGATTCGGTGGTGGCCATGGAGAGAGGAAAGGTGCAAGTTAGGCGCCCTCGCGCCATATCTGACATCCTACCTCACCCACCCATCCGTCCCATTGTGCTGGTTTCCCATCCCTTCCCTCACTCAATATTGGCATCTTACGTTTCCATCATATATCCGCCGACGGATATCATAGCGAATTTGGAAGTCCCGAAAGGACCCCAGTCATGCGCAATGCCAGAAGTATTGTTACTTACATACATTGGACGAGGAGGTGGCGGATGAGCAGGAGGACGAGCAGCAGGAAGAGGAAGCTGATGAGGAAGGAGGAGAGGAGACAGGAGGAGGAGGAGGAGGAGGAGGAGGAGGAGGAGGAGGAGGAGGGAGGAGGAAGGAGGGAGGAGGAGGAGGAGGAGGAGGAGCAGGAGCATTGTCTCTTGGTCTCCGCCCGCTGCCATTCTGCGGCTCACGAGCTCGGAGCCCTCGGAGCGCGGAGACCAGTGGCGGGCAGGCCGGGGCGTGCTCCCAGGCCGGGAGGGGCCCCAAGCCGGCACGGGCAGGGCGGAGGAGCGGGGGCAGAGTCAAGCATCGGGCCGGGCGAAAGGGGGGGATTGGGAAAGGGGGGGTTACGATATTTGCTGCATGCAGCTGGTTTTGGCCTCACCGAGGGGCCCATTCCTCGATACATGGCCGCCTTCGGCGCCGGGAGGCGCCGGGAAAATCGGCTACGTGAGCTGATTCTCAAACCCCCCCTTTGCTATCCCCCCCTTTTGCCCGACCCGAAAGCAGTAGCGAAGCTTCGCGGTTTGCCGATAGGCCTGCCAAAGAATGTTCTAAGGACCTCTTGGGGTCTGCGCGAAACGTTCTTAAGAACAAGTCTGGCCGAAATTGCCCTGTTTTGACACGTCGGGTTTGCGTTCCAAGAGCATGGTTCTTGTTCTTAGACCAGTTTGGAGTTCTAAGAGCATATCGTGGTAGGCCTACAGGAATGCCGGGGCCGTCGGTCCCTGCTCAACAGATGCAGACTTCTGGCGTCCCGAGACCGCGACGGCCAGTCGAGCGTGCAAGGTTGCGCGTTAGTGCCCTCGTTTCCCATGTTTCGTGCCGCGTCAGCGGCCCGCGTAAGCAACTGCGTAAGGTCGCCACATCATGTTGCGTGAGGCCCGTTTGTTTTCGTCGTTCGGCTGTCCCGGGCATGATCGCGATGTGAACAAAAACCACGTCGGAAGGTGTCTGATGATTTCCGGCCTCTTCGGGTCCCGTGCCAGCACCCCCTCGACTCCCCTTCCTTCTCCTCTTCCTTCTCCTCCTCCTCCTCCTCCTCCTTCTCCTCCTCCTCCTCGGGATGAAACTTTGGTCTCGGGGTCCAGACCTCCAGGGTTCCCGTCGTGACGAATCACGGTATCGGATGTCTGGGGTTCCATGGTTAATTCAAGCTTCGCGCGGCCCGCTTAGCTTCGACCGGAAGAGGTGCGCTCTCGACCCGCGAATCAAAAAATGTCTGGGGTTCCATCGTTACGAAATGGTGACGGCCAGTCGAGCGACGTGCGCTGACGTTCGCGCGCAAGTTTCCCGCGCAAGGCCGCGCGGTAGCGCCTCGCTCCACGCGGTGTGCCACGCTGGCGGTCCGCGTAAGTCGCGGCGTGAGGTTGCTACGTCTTCCCGCGCAAGATCTGTTTCCTCCTCCTCCTCCTCCTCCTCCTCCTCCTCCTCCTCCTAATCATCATCAGCAGCAGCATCATCATCAGCATCATCATCCTCATCATCATCCTCATCATCATCACCACCATCATAATCAGCATCATCATCCTCACCATCATCATCAGCATCAGCATCATCATCATCCACATCCTCGTCATCATCCTCGTCGTCCTCCTCGGTGGAGGCCAGAAGTTGATAGGATTCCTCGTCCTCCTTCCCTTGGGGGGGGGCGGCTGTGAGAATCCGTGGGCCATGTGGGGCAGAGGTGAGGGAGGCGACGAGAAGGTTGCGAACGTGAAGTGGGACTTGTAGGGGCAACGGTGGGCGGGCGAGACAGGACGACCAGGGCAGCGTGGGGAGGTTGGCGGTGGTGGATGAGGGAAGTGCAGGTGAGGGGAAGCTAGTGGCGAGGAGGCGAGGAAGCTAGTGGCGAGGAGGAGAAGGAAGTGCAAGTGGCGAGGAAGCGAGTGGCGAGGAAGCTAGTGGCGAGGAGGCACGGAAGCTACTGGTGTTGCAGGTGAGAGGCAGCCAGTGGCGAGGAGGAGAAGGAGACGTCTTCAGCGCCGGACCAGCGAAACCAAGTTCTGGCGGCAGAGGGCAGCCGCGAGGCGAGTGCCTGGGCGGAAAGTGCCGCTCCTCCTCCCCGTCTCCTTCCGCATCCTTCCGTCGTCAATTGAACCCTCCTCCTCCTCCTCCTCCTTTTGACTTCATGCATCTGGTGGAGAAGGGCTGTTGAGCTCCAAAAAAAACTCCTTCCCCGCCTCCTCCTCACCCTCCTCCTCCTCCTCCTCCTCCTCTCCTCCTCCTCCTCCTCCTCCTCCTCCTCTCCTCCTCCTCCTGCTCCTCCTCCCTCCTCCTCTCCTCCTCCTCCCTCCTCCTCCTCTCCTCCTCCTCCCTCCCTCCTCCTCCTCCTCCTTCCTCCTCCTCCTCCTCCTCCTCCTCCTCCTCCTCCTCCTCCTCCTCCTCCTCCTCCTCTCTCCCCCCTCCTCATTTTCCTCCTCCTCGTTCTCGTCATCATCGCAATCTCATAATCATCAGACGGGCGGGCGGGCTCGAGCCGCACTTCGGCCTCGTCTGCGCTCGCTGCCAGGCCCCCCCCTGCTTCGCATGCGGCCCCCCCGTCCATCGCGGCACCCCCTATCGCGCGCCCCGTGGCCCCACGGGGAGCTGCACCGAAGCCCTCATGGGGGGAGGGGCCGCATGCGGTCACCAGCCAAGCTTGGCACACCCCGCTCACACACTTTTCGTGGCCCCATGGGGGAGCTCCACCGACGGCCCCGGCGGCAGCGACCGCACACGTCCCCAGGCCCCTTTCGGCTCACCCCTCGCACGTGCTTCGTGACCCCGACAGGGAGCTCCGGCAAAGGCCCCAGTGGCAGCGCCCGCATGCTTCCCCAGCCCCGTGTCGGCACATCCGTCCCACGCTTCGGGCCCCCACAGGGAGCTCCGCCGAAGGCCCCAGTGGTAGCGCCCGCGTGCTTCCCCGGGCCCACGTCGGCACACCCCTCACACGCTTCTCGGCCCCATGGGGAATTCCACCGGAGGCCCCAGTGGCAGGGCCCGCATGCGCTCCCGGGGCCCAGCAGTTCGACACACCCCTTACATATACGCAGCGTGGCCCCTGTGGGGAGCTCCAGTGCAAAGCAGTGTCCACACGCGCGGTGTTCACAGTTGCATATGGTTGGGCTTTCCACCAGAAGAAGGTTCGCAACCTCGGATCTCAGAGTCTGTCGCCATCGTCGCCGACGACGACATAATTGTCGTCGCCGCCGCCATCATAGTCGTCGCCGCCATGGTCGTCGCAGGCGTTGTCGGTGCCGTCATACAGTCAACCCGCCTAGCAAGGATGAGCAATGTTTTACAAGGTTGCCCTTGCATCCTTCCCCTTCTGCCCGTGCCTGGCCGCCTTCGCTGGCCACGCCCCGCTTGCAGAGTGTCGGCATGGCCTTCCCGAGGCCCTCGTTGTACGCGCTGACTGTCGCCATCGCTGGTTGGTGGCCACGGGAGGGGGACGGGGGACGCACGGTCGGACCGAGGTAGGAGGTCGAGGTCGGGTCGGGGAGGGTCCCCATGCGCTCCTCGTGCTCGTCGTATGTTCGTCGTGGGCATCCTGGGGGAGGGCAGCCTCGGATGCTCCGTGTTTTCTGGCCGGCGGTGGGCCTGGCGTTCTCGCGGGCTGCTCCTCTGGCCTGCAGGTCTTACAGGTCCGGCCGTGCCCCCCCCCGCCCCGCGAGCACCCCCGGCGGCCATTGCAGGGGGGGGGCCTGGCTCGAAGCCAGGGCAGCACCCCCGGCCAGGAGACGCCGCCTCGCCGCCCCCCCCCCCCCCGCCCCGCCCCCCACCGTCGGGCGGCGCCAGGAGGAGGACAGATCCGTCCCGGAGCGCCCTGGAACGCTCAGGAGGGAAAGAAACACACAGACACAAGGAATCGTCGATTCCCCAGAAAACATTGAAAACATTGGAAAATATGGGAAGGGGGGGGAGAAGGCAAAAACCCAGAAAATATGTGGAAATATGTGGAATATTGTTATTTGTGTGTATTTGTGTGTGTATTTATTTGTGCGTGCGTGCGTGTGTGTTTGTGTGTGTGTGTTTGTGTTTGTGTTTGTGTTTGTGTTTGTGTTTGTGTTTGTGTTTGTGCTTGTGCTTGTGCTTGTGCTTGTGCTTGTGTTTGTGCTTGTGCTTGTGCTTGTGCTTGTGCTTGTGCTTGTGCTTGTGTTTGTGTTTGTGTTTGTGTGTTTGTGTGTTTGTGTGTCTGTGCTTGTGTTTGTGCTCGTGTTTGTGTTTGTGTTTGTGTTTTTGTTTATGTTTGTGTTTGTGCTTGTGCTTGTGCTTGTGCTTGTGCTTGTGCTTGTGCTTGTGCTTGTGTTTGTGCTTGTGCTTGTGTTTGTGTGCGTGTTCGTGCGTGTTTGTGTTTGTGTTTGTGCTTGTGTTTGTGTTTGTGTTTGTGTTTGTGTTTGTGTTTGTGTTTGTGTTTGTGTGTGTGTCAGGGCCCCTTCAAACGTTCTCGGAGCGTCCCAGGACGCTTTGAGAGTCAGGCGATCGCAGACATGAATTAAGGGAGCGTGCATTAGCGACGGGTCCCGCTTCCGTATGAAATCGTCGATTTCCGCCGCCGAGCGAGGCGGCCGCCGAGCGAGGCGGTACCGGCCGCATTTTGGGGAGGGCACCTCCCCCGATCCACAGACGGACGCGATGGCCCGCGGGCGTTGGCTGACGCCTTCGAGAAAGCCGTGAGAGGGTCGCGGCACCCGAGACATCCTCACCCGACGTCATCTTCGCTCAGGCTTCGTCTTGCACGGGGGGGTCTTCGGGGCGGGTAGCGTTCTTTGGGCGGGTTTGCGGTTTGCCAAACGGGCGCCCGTGCAGGGCACCTTTTCTCTCGTAGCCTCAGATGCTTGGATGCTCGAGAGCGCCCTCGAGTGCACGAAGCCGCTCGCGCTTCGCGGTTCGGCTCCGACTCCTCCGCATCCTCTTCGTCGCTCCTGGGGGGGCGGCCAGAGAGAGTGAAGTTGGGCGCCTTTGGATACGTCTTTCTGCACTGTTCTGATCTCAGAGTGAAGCATGTCCGCCCGCGGGGTTGCAAAGCCGCCCCGTCCCAGCGGCCATGATCAACGCACGGAAGAAGATCATCAAAGACAAGAGCGCCCCCATCACGGAGCTTGAGGATTGCATCGCCGAGCTTGTTCGCAGTTCTTCTCGCTCCGTTTCAGTATTGGGTTTATGTAGGTACTGCCCTCTCTCTCTCTCCCTCTCTCTCCCTCTCTCTCTCTCTCTCTCTGTATATCCATCCCTCCCTCTCTGTCTCAATCGTGTGTATGCGATATAGATATACATAGCGCTATGGCTATAGCCTAGTTATAGCTATAGATATAGATATGTCGAGGTACAGGGTCGGGGGCCTTCTCCCAGCTGCCCCGACTCGCCATGGGGGCACTGGGCTCCCTGGACACCCTCTGCAGTGGCCCGAGAGCCGCCCAGACGGCCTCAAGTGGCGTCATAGAGAGATTCCAGAAGGCTCCCAGATGTTCCGCGGGGCTGCCGTGCAGCCCCAGATAGCTTCAAGACGGGCCAAGGGAACTCGACGAGCGCTCCCAAGAGGGCCCCCACAGGCAAATACCATTAATTCCCTACCTAGGCTCTGCCTAGAAGGGTTCTTACTCTCTTGGCTTAAAGGGCCGGGCAGTGGGAACCGGCCCGGGCGGTTCCCCCAGTATCCGCCCCGCGGTTCCCCCAGGTACGTCCTCTTAGCTTAGCTTTGCTTATCTCATCTCAGCTTAGCCTAGCTTAACTTAGCTTCGCTTCGCTCAGCTTAGCCTAGCCTAGCGTAGCTTAGCTTAGCTTAGCTTAGCCTAGCTTAGCTCAGCTTAGCTTAGCGCAGCATGAGCATAGCATCGCATAGCATAGTATAGCATAGTATAGCGCAGCCTAACATAGCGCAGCATAACATAGCATAGCATAGCACAGATGTGAGTGTAGATGTAGATGTAGATGTAGATGTAGATGTAGATGTAGATGCACGTGTACATGTAGATGTAGCTGTAGGTGTAGATGTGGATGTAGGTCTAGATGTAGATGTAGGTAGTAAGCTGTACTATTACTACTACTACTACTACTACTACTACTACTACTACTACTACTACTACTACTACTACTACTACTACTACTACTACTACGACTACTACTACTACGACTACTACGACTACTACGACTACTACGACTACTACGACTACGACTACTACTACTACTACTACTACTACTACTACTACTACTACTACTACTGCTACAATGGCGACGATGAGGAGAAGGAGGAGGACGGCGTTTAGCGTTACTACTAATAGTGTTCTCCTCGGGGCTCCAACTCCTAGGTAGGGTCGCTCTGGGATAATTTTCTTTAGATGTCAATGTGTTGGGGGTTCTCGACTTTCGAGCTTCCGACGCTCCACGACGTCCCAAGAGGCCCCCAAGACCGCTCCAAGACGGCCCAAGAGGCCTCCAACACGGGCCAAGAGGGTCCCAAGACGGCCACAAGAGGGGCCCCAAGACGGCCCCAAGAGGGACCCACGAGCAGGAGCCCAAAAGGACAATTCGAGTTGTCCGTCCCAAGATGCCCTCAGACGGTCCAAGAGGGTTCGTCGAGCGTTACTTGGCTGGAGGGCCGCAAGAGGCAAGAACAATTGATGTTCCGTAGGTTTTCAATGTTTCGGAGGCGCTCGATTTGTCCAGCTTCCAGCGCTGTACGTCCCAGGAGCCCAAGACCGTCCCGAGGCGGGCCAAAGAGGCCCCCAAGAGTAGGGAGGAGGAGGAAAAGGAGGAGGAAAAGGAGGATCTGGCTCAAGACAGTTGGGTTCCAGCTGGTTCTTCGCAGAACAGAACGCACACCCTCTTTTTCTGTGTACATCCAATATCAGGTCGGGTCACCCATCCCACAGATGGTCCGTCTGTGGTTGGTCGCCAGCGTCGTCGGGGCACACGGCGCCGCTGGCCTGGGCGCGGCCCACACCGAGTCCAGCATGATGCAGTACAGAGCAGCGGTGGGCAAGATCAACGCCTCGCAGGCAACGACGACGATTGTGTACAACTGGGAATCGGGCTTGGATCCGTGGGTGCAAGTGCCATATGGGACGAATGTATTTCAATACATGCCCAGATCCACGCCAACTTCGCATTTTGCAGGCTGTAACGGTTGCCCCAGCGGATGGTGTACTTGCACGGGTAATTATTTCATCACGACAGATGAGGACAACAATGGGTACCAGACTGATTCTTGGACTGGTATATTGGAGTCACCCGAGTTCACTCTGTCTGCAGACTCGTATATCTCGTACGGAATTGGAGGTGGTTCACACAGCGCCTCCACGCTCAATCCCAACTCGCCGTCTGGTAGTGCGTGTGCTTTGACGCTGGAGGTTAAATCTGGCGCCAGTTGGTCAATCGCCGTGCACGACACGGGCTCCAATAACGATGTCATCACTAAGAGGACGTGGTCTGCCGGTACCCTGCATCCATATGCAGGGCAGACTGTACGCATGCGCATATATGATTTGAACACGGGAGGTTGGGGCCATATCGCGATTGACGATATCACCATATCTGCGGCGCTGACTCCGTCCCCGACGCCAACAGCGTCCGCCATCGGCGATCCGCACATGCAAAACATCTACGGCCAGCGGTTCGACTTGATGCGGCCAGGCAAGGTCATGCTTATCAACATACCTCGCGGCAGCGTCGGCAAGGACGCGCTGCTCGCCGTGGAGGCCGACGCGCGTCGATTGAGCAGACACTGCGCCGACATGTACTTCCAGCAGGTGAACATCACTGGGGCATGGGCGGACAAGACCGAGAGCGGCGGGTTCTTCTACAACGCCTTGACGGAGCGCGAGCCGCGCGCGAGGTGGGACAAATTCGGGCCGGTTGAGCTCAAAGTTGTCCACGGGCTCACGAATTCGGGGATCCGCTACCTGAACTTGTTCGTGAAGCATCTCGGGCAGACGGGGCTTGCCGTGGGAGGTCTTCTCGGAGAAGATGACCACACGGAGGCGGCGACCCCGACGCAGGACTGCAGGAACACGCTTTCCCTGAACGCGGCAACGCATAGTGACGGAGTATCGCGCGCTGAAGGTTCTGTGGCCACAGCGAGTTCCTATTAATCATTAGGGTCCACATTCAGCCCCAATGCAAGCGTGGGCGCATGATCCGTTAGGCTTCCACCGCTTCGGCTGCGCTCTATATACTAACTTGGTCACGTGGCATCGCAGCGGGGGCGCCACAGACAACAGTGGGTAGTCTCGGTTTATGACGTGGAATAGCTACGTTTACTTTTGCGCACGCTGCACCTTCCACTTTGCCTGCGCGTCCGAGGGGATGGAGGCCTCAGGGAGGCATCGCAGCGGGACGTGCCAAACAAAACAAAAAAAAAACGCCCCAAGAAGGTCCCAAGAGCGCCCCACGCGCAGGCGCCCGGAGCGATACTTCGAGTCTCAGGAGGGACAAAAAACACACAGACACAATTAATCGTCGACCCCCAGGAAAACATAGGAAAATATGGGAAGTGGGGGGGAAGACAGAAACCCAGAAAATATGAGAAAATATGGGGATCGGTTTTATTTGTGTGTGTTTATTTGTGTGTCCTGGGGCCCCCTCAGAGTCTTCCGTCCTAAAATGCCCTCAGACGGCCCACGAGGACTCGATGAGCGCTCCCCAGATGGCCGCGAGAGGCAGAAGCCAATGACGGTCTTTCGGTTCGTGTGCGGTTTCAAAGGTTTCGTTTTGTTGAGTTCCCGCCGCTCCGGGACATCTCAAGAGGCCCCCAAGGCCGCCCCAGGATTGCCCAAGAGAGCCCCAAGACGGCCCTGGACGCGCCCAAGACTCCCCCGGAGAGGTCCGAGACGGCCTCAAGTGGCCCGCTTATGTTACATAAATTTAACACAAGGCGTTTTCTCGTCAAGGACAGCGTTGTATTAAATGTGCGCATGAATTATCCGAAGACGCTCCAAAAATAGCCCAGCGCAACTTGAAGGGGGGAAAAAATGCAAAGATATCCCCCTGCCGTTTGCAAAATTCCCAATTACACCAGAAAGACCTTTGTGGCGATCTTTTGAGATTTCAAGAACCTGGGAGATGCTCACGGACCATTTTCGAGACATCAAAACGTTCCAGGACGCAGTGCGTGACCATCTTCGGCAGTTCCAAGTCATCCAGGAGATGCCCCCGCGTGTTCTCCGGAAAGCATTACCTTGATTGAGGTGGGCCCCGTGGCCGTTCCTCGAGAACGCGCCAGTCTCGTAATGATGCCCCCCTTCGCCAAGAGTCGCGCCGCTGCGGCATGTGATTTAGCGGGCCCGCTAGCATATTCAAATGCTCTACGTCAGGGTTGCCAAACGCGCGACGCGCGCTGCTGATGCGGTACCCTCGCGGGCTGAAAGGCGCCGCAATGTTGCCGAGCGCATGTCGTTCCACGCCACAGAGGCGTCGCGACTTCAATCTACGCGCCCGATCCCGCTGGGGAGCTGGCTCTCAGCGCGTGCGCATCAAACAGGTGGTAAGCGCTCCACGCGTCAAGCAGCTTCCAGTCGGAAAAAGGTCCATATGTGTTACAAGCGTTTCTGGATCCAGTTCTGCCGCGCGCCCGCCCACGTTTTTATTGACTTGCATTTGCGAATGGGGGCGCCGGGGTGGAGGAAGAGGACCAGTCGATCGGTCGTTCGGAGGATTGCTCGATCGACACATCGATCAAAGGATGAGTTTGCGGCTTCCCGCCAGCCCCCGTGGACCCTGGTTTTTTTTTATATATATATATATATATATATATAATTATATAATATATATATATATATATATATGGATTGCAATACCTCTCGTTGGCCATCTGCACGCGTCGCGATAAGTTCCTGCCCTTTTGGGTGGCTCCCCTCGCGCGCCCCCAGGGCAAATGTTGCGTCGGTCGTTCGTCCTTGAAGTGAGCCCACTGGCAACGAACCGCGCGGAGTCGGCTGAGTGCGCAGGAGGGGCGGTTCGTTCTGGCGCGAATACGAAGCCATTGAATGTGTATCGAGTTTCTCTTGTATCGAAATAAGTGCGGCCATTGTTACCGCGGCGTTGAAGGCGCTCCCCTTGTCTGGCGTGCAGGGCGCTGCGTATGTTTCGCGCGCCGAAACACGCAGGGTGGAAATCAGGAAAACCACTCAATCCTCCACCAGGAATTGTTGATTTTTCAGCACATGCTTGGAGCATTCCCAACGTAGTGTAAACACTTGCCTTATAAGAACCGAAGAGGTATGCTTTGACCATGTTTGATCATTCCTTTTCACGAATCACCTGTAGAAGGACATGCCCGATGTAAGTGGACGTGCGTGCGTAGCGCGCGCGTGGGTCGAGCGTGTGTATATACGTGTGTAAATACATGTGTATATACATCGTATATCTATACATGGATCTACGAACGTCTATATACAAACATCCATAGACACGGATGTGGATTTACGTGTATGTGCATATATATATATACTTATATACATATATATGTACATGTTGAGTATCCCCTAACACAGCACGCCACGGAGTTTAGGTTGCGGGCGTGAGGCATCTGAGATTCCCGTCGGGGTATCTCGGGATGCCTTTTTTTCCGGAGGCCTCTTGAAGGGCCCTTGGGCCTCGGGGCTTCTGATCAGGACTCGCTGCCAGCGTCGCCGCGGACGACGTCCACTTGAGGCAACGAATCGCCTGCCCAGCACGGTTTCCCCTGGGACAGTAGGCGACCCGAGGAGGAGGAAGAGGAGGAGGAGGAGAAGGAGGAGGAGGAAGAGGTGGAGGAGGAGGAGGTGGAGGAGGAAACGGAGGGGGAGCAGGACGGGGAGGAGGAGGAGCAGAAGCAGGGTCAGGAGGAAGAGGAAGAGGAGGAACTCGGGTTGTTTAAGCCCTTCGGAGAAACCCTCCACAACGGCCGCTGTCCGTTTTGGACAACCGTCGTTTTTGTGCATCGTAAGGATTTATTTCGCACAGTTAATCCGCATAGTAAGAATGGTCAACCTCCCCAAGGGTACACCTGCATCCTTGCCCCGTCGGCCCATAATGAGCGGCTTTCGCCTGCCAGCCTCGTTCGGAAAACGCGACACCTTTACAGCGCATCCTCATGATGCGGGTTGGCTACTTGGCATTGGAGCGCGCCCGCGCGGGCAGAAGGAGTGCGCGACGAGGGCGGGCGCGCCGCGGTGCCGAGGAGGCGCAGACGCGTTCCGCACACGAGCCCACCGCCCCAAAGGCGCAGAGCTCGGTGCGCGAGCCGAGCTGTGCTCGAGAGGCTGGGTTCACGCTGGAACTGCTCTGTGGCGCCGAACGGTGCTTCGACGTCCGGCGGCGAGAGCGAGTGGGGGAAGGGAGAAGGAGAAGGCCTCCTCGGAAGGCGGCGAGGCTTCTCAGGAGGCCCCCGGCCTTGTGGCTTCTGAGAGCCGGAAGGTTTTCTGCGTCTCCGGGGAAGGCTCAGAGAATTCTTCGAAAGGCTGGGAGACTTCCAAGCCTTCTGAGAAGGGCCCGCCCCTGGTCCCCCCCCCCCCCGGGCTCGCCGCCAAGCTCTGAGACGCCCGCGGTGCCCGAGGCATCCTCCAGAGCCGCCAGCTCTCGATTTTTCCTCGCCCGACTGATCCTCACCCGATCTGCCCCCCCCCTTCTCACTGCCCCGCCCCTGGGCTCGCCGCCGAGACTCGATCTCGAGATTCGGAGTAGCGAACATCGGCACGAACGAGATGGGTAGCGGACCCGACACTGGGGACCAGACGACGGGCGGCGACGGGGAGGCGACGGCGACAACAAGGCGGCGGACCCGACACCGGGGCCAAGACGACGGGCGGCGACGAGGCGGCGACGGGGCGACGACGGCGACAGCAAGGCGGCGGACCCGACACTGAGGTCCAGACGACGGGCGGCGACGGGGCGACAACAGGGCGGCGGACCCGACACTGGGGCCCAGTCGACGGGCGGCGACGGGGCGACGACGGCGACAACAAGGCGGCGGACCCGACACCTGGGCCCAGTTCCTTAGTAGACATGTAAGAACCTCTAAGTGCAAGCACCGTTCGAGGAATACATGTATATAGACACGCATTCGTGTATATGGATGTACCTGCGTAAGTATTCGTGCTTGCATGCGTAATGTGTGTGATTGTATGCTCTCTATGTTCTCTCGCTCTCTCTCTCTCTCTCTCTCTCTCTCCCCTTGTAAATATATACACAGAGAAGTACACACGTATACGTATCACCCCATTCCCCCCCATCCAGGCTAGTTGTTCAATCAGTTTGGTTCTGGCGAACGGTGTATCGTAACGGTCAGCGAGTCTACGTTGCATATTCTGACAATTTCCATTAGTTAGATAGAAGTGTTGCCACATTCCCACTGGTCAGCACCTGCACGGCAAACGTATGGAATTCGTTGTACTGATGGCGTAGCAGATGTTTGCAGAGATGAGCCGATACATGGGGAGCGGCAGCGGTTGACGTGTCGACGAATGAGTTTCAACGCGGGATCATTTGGAGTTGCATGGGAACGCACCATCTCCGACCACCAGTAGATGATTTGAATGTGGCGAGGTGATGCTTGAATGTGTTGGATGGGTTAGACGAGGCGGAGCGCTGCCCAGGAGGAGGTTGCGAAGGCTCTCCTGGACATTGAGACGTCGCAGGCGAGTGATATCAAGGCTCGCACACATGCGCCGCGAACCTTCCATTCAGACGTGCAGAACAAATCCAGCGAAGACGTAATTACGGTAATGGGTCGTGTTCCGTGCTGGTGTTGCGGAGCAGGGGAGCACCAGGAGGGGCCATCGAGAGAGCAGCAACGGGAGCAGGAGGTAAGGCGCGGACGTGCGATGTATCGGCATGCATCGTGTGATTGATTGTTCGAGAGCGCGTCTGTTTGTCGGAATGAGCATCATGTTTTATGGTCTGCACTGTTCGTCCCATGTTGCCGGTTCGAGTCCACGAGAAGTTGTTCGTTTGGATACAAAAGCCGGCTCGAGGGAGAGCTCCGCGACATCACCATTTCGGCCGCCAAGGAGGTGGACGCGAAGGCAATTTGTATGCGAACTCTGCGTTACTAGCAGCGCAAGGTTGGCACAGACTGGGGAGAGACATTGGATTGTGGCTTTGCGGCACAGTGGCACAGGTCATACGCGTTAGCTCGTGACCACCGGTTGCACCTTTTCGGTACGTTCTGGAGGAGATGTGCCGAACGCGGAGTGCTGCAACGCGTTGCGTACTGCATGCGGGGGGGGTGAAGGGGAGAGGAAGTTCTTCCTAGGGTGCATTCCGTACGCGGCGTCACCGCAGCCCGTGCGGGATCGGAACCCGAAGCCGTGTATCAGTAGCACTGATTGATTTGTGGCGTCAGTGATCTGATTGCTTTTTTGCCACAGTCCATGGAGTCCATGGGAGCCTTTTTTGCCTCGCGCATTCTATGAGCTCGTTGTCAGCGCGCGTTTTTGCATGCGACGTGCCCCACACCGCCCGATGACTAATGCTGCCAGCCATGCATCGCTCGATCGTTCGTCCTGTCGGAACGCACTTGCTGTGCACGTCCCGTCCGCATCACTCCATGCTCTCCATTCGTTCCTGTCGGGTGCTCTGTTCTCGACTACTCTTCAGTCGGGCCTGACCCTCTACAGGAGGCAAATTCAAAAACAGTAAAGAAATAGTCTGGGGACGATTTTTTGATTATTTTTAACCATTTGGGAATATAGTTTGAGCATTTTTTCATTTTTCGCTCAAAATCCCCCTGTAGGGGGACAGGCCCGACCTAAGACTACTCCAATGGCTGCCCCTCTTTGTGGCAGACGCGGAAAGCTGTCGTCGTCTACTTCCCCTTCCGGGTCTGGGCCGCGGTCAAGAAGATCCAGGCGCCTCCCGTCGACCATCGAGGTGTGACACGCTCACAGTCTGAAGCATCCAAATTATTTGCCGACGACTTGACCTATGTTTCGCGTGGCGGACCCACAGACCTCTCAAACTCTTCCGTGGGACCCGCCTATCACTCCGAGTCTCCCGCCAGAGCTTGGAGTTGGACGCCCCGAGAACGGCCCACCAAAGTCTGGGGCGATTCGTTCGCCTAAAGCAACGAAGATGCTTGTAACAGAAGTGTGGGCACATAATATTATACAGGTGTGCATGTATCTATATATATGTATGTATGCATATGTGTATGAGTATGTTAATTATATACACACACATATATATACATACATACACGCATACCTACACATCTACATACCTACATACAGACATACAGACATACATACATACAGACAGACAGACAGACAGACAGACAGACAGACAGACAGACACACACATGCATACGTACACACATAAATACATACATACATACATGCATGCATGCATGCATACATGTTCTGAGTGCATGCCTCCTCACCGCCTTGCGTAGGTACTGACACTGACTGAAGGAATGCCCCGCCAGATTTCGCTTCCCGCGTTTCCGCCTGCGGTGATCCGCAATCCTCTGGATCGAGCCCTTTCGGGTAAGTGCGAGCGAGCCCAAAAGAGCGAATCATCGTAGCGGAGCGTGAGTGCTCGGAGGTTGCGGTCAGCCCCGCACCTCCGGAGCGCGCGGGACGCGGTTAGCCCCGCTCCCGCGCAGCCAGGCAGGGTGCTCGGAGGTTGCGGTCAGCCCCGCACCTCCAGAGCGCGCGGGGCGCGGTTAGCCCCGCTCCCGCTCAGCCAGGCAGGGTGCCTGGCCGTGTATGCCCCAGGCGAGGGGCGGGCGCTCGGCAGCACGAAGGCTGAAGCGCGAACTGCGGGGTACAGACGCCCGAGTTGGGGAGCAACAGGGCTTGAGCCATCGAGATGGCGGAGGCAGAGATCCGCGCGGAGCTCGCGGAGCTCCGGGCACAGAACCAGCGCCTGAACCAGGCGATGGGGGGCGATGCAGCAGCAGGCAGCGCAGCAGCAGGACCTGGTCGCCGCTCTGGCCGGGCTGCCGCATGCGCTTGCCGCGCTGCCGGGCACGGTCTCCGCCGCAGTGGAGGCGGCGGCGAGCCAGCACTCGAGGGCTCGAGGCAGCCTCATCGACACGAAGGGGCTAGGCAGGCCCCTGCCGCTCAAGAACTCCGAGCAGGAGTTCGTGGCGTGGGCCCGGCGGACGGAGAACTTCGTGGCGAGCGTCTTCCCCGGCGCCCGCGAGGTTCTAGCGTGGGCCGTGGAGCTCGACCTGGGGACGGCGGCCTCTGCAGCCACCGTGGCGGCGAGCGGCGACCTGGACATGGAGGAGGCCACCGCGCAGGAGTTGTCGGAGCAGCTCTACACGGTGCTGATGAGCCTGGTGGAGGGCGAGAGCTTCGACATCATAGTAGGAGCAGGGCCAGGAGAAGGACTGGAGTCATGGAGGAGGCTCCATCGCCGGTGGGATCACCTGACCACCGGGCGGGCGAGAGGCTTGCTCCGGGAGATCCTATCTCCAGGGCGAGCGAAGCTCGCCGAGCTCCAGGGAGCCGTCGAGCGCCTGGAGGATCTGATGCGCCGGTACGCCCTCCGGCGCGACGCGCGGACCGGCGAACGCCACCACTTTGCAGAGGACATCCGGATGGCGGCGTTCGAGGCGCTGCTCCCAGAGGACCTGGAGAAGCACTGCCAGCTTCAGAGGGCCCGGCTGGACACCTACGCGAAGTTGCGCGAGGAGGTGATCCTGTACGCCGAGGCGCGGGGCTATGTCGCGCCCAAGCTAGGCCAGGTAGGGAGGCCGCAGGAGAGCAGGAAGGACGACCCGATGGACGTGGGCCAGTTCAACAAGGGCGCCCCGAAAGGAGGCAAGAGCAAAGGCAAAGACAAAGGCAAGGACGGCAAGGGGAAGTACAAGCAGCAAGGAGGAGGACAAGCAGGAGCAGGAGCAGGACAGAAGCAGCAGTTGAACCTCAAGCAGTGCTGGAGCTGCGGGAAGTCGGGCCATATCAGTAAGGACTGCTGGAGCAAGCCGCAGCAGTGGCAGCAGCAGCAGCACCACCACCACCAACACCACCAGCAGCAGAGCAGCAAGGGCAAGAGCAATGACAACAAGGGCAAAGGTAAGGGCAAGTACAAGTCCAGGGATGCCGGTGCGCTGGAGTGGGACTCCTGGGACTCACCGGCGGCGGCGAGCTGGAACCAGCTCGCCGCTGGACCTACGACGATATCGGCAACTCCGTGGCCAGCACCACCTGAGCCCTCCGTTGCCGAGAGCACGGTGGACTTGTGCGCGGCTTGGGGCGCGGTCAGCCCCGCTCCTGCCGCGCGCGCGCCATCCCGCGTGAAGTGGGCTGCCATCAACGTGGACACTGGAGCGGGAGGCACGGTTTGGCCGGCTGACGCCGACTACGCCGGCGAGCGCGCTCCTGGATTATCGGGCAGGAGTTACCGGACTGCCACTGGTGAGCTGGTTGAGGGCCAGGGCAGGTTCAAGATACGAGGGGTGGATGCTTGGGGTCACAATCTCCAGATGGTGGGCTGAGCGTCGGGGGCGTGACGGACAAGGGCCACGCAGTGTGGCTGGGCGGCGACGCGGGCTACATCTTCCAGCGCGGCTCGCCGATCCTCGACGAGATGCGGGCCGTCTTCAGCAAGTACTCTTGGGACGGCGTTATCGAGCTGAACAAGGAGCGAGGTGTCTACAACCTCTACGCGCAGGTGGGGACGGGCACTCCGAACGGCACCAGCGGCGGCGACGACACCATCGACGTGAGTCCGAACGACATGGATGTGGACGTCCCGGGAGCGCCTGCGGGCGCGATTTTGGGGGATGCCAGCCCATCCTCGGGATCTGCGCCTCCGCCGGGGGGCCGCCGGCAGGCGATGCCGTAAGCCCAGAGGGTGCGCCTCCCGATGGTGGTGAGGAGGCTGTAGCACCGAGAATGCCACCGGCGCCTCCGAAGCCATCGCAGGCTGAGGAGGAGGAGCACTACGCGACAGGCCATGCAGCCTTCAGATCGTGGTGCGAGCACTGCGTCAGCGGACGCGGGCGTGCGGCACCCCATGCTGGAGCTCCTGGGGGTGAGCTTCCGGAGGTTGGGGCAGACTACGCGTACGTGGGCCCAGAAGGCTCGCAGGTGACGCTACTGCGTTGCAAATGCAAGCGCACAGGGTGCCTGGCGGCTACCCAGGTGCCAGCGAAGGGCGTGGATGCCTACGCGCTCTCCTTCATCGTTGGTTGGCTACGTAGCTTAGGGTGGAAGCGTCTTATCATGAGGTCCGACAATGAGCGGGCTTCGCTTTCGCTCCTGAGGGCAGCGGCCATGAACCTGGAGGGCGTGGAGGTGATAGAGCAGGCGTGCCCAGAAGGGGATCACGCGGCGAAAGGGCTAGCAGAGGTAGCCGTTCGCGAAGTTAAGGCGCAGACGAGTGTCCTGAAGAGCCATCTTGAGCAGAGGCTGGGCCGGCCACTGGAGTGGACCGAGCCGCTGGCTACGCGGTTGGTCAGGCACGCGGCGAACTGCTTGTCGCGATACAGGGTACAGGCAGACGGCAGGACGCCAGATCAGCGACGCACTGGGCGGCGCTGGAGGCGCCAAGTGGTCGAGTTTGGCGAGAAGGCGAAATTTCATCCAGTCGCGGCGCGGCGCGAGGCGCGAGCGGCAGGCGACGTGGAGAGGATGCTTGATGGCATATTCGTGGGCCATCATGAGCGCACAGGCGCTGCGTTGTTCCTGTCAGACCGGGCTCAGCGGAAGACGCCGGACCAGCAGTGGGACAACGAGTACATCAGGAAGTGCCGAGGGGCGCCTTGGAAACTTCAAGGAGAAGAGCCAGAGGCGGCGCCGGCGGGAGCACCGGCGGCCGTGGTGGTAGCTCCAGCGGGAGTGCCAGCGCCTCAGCAGCAGAGGCGGCGATACATCCTTCGGCAGGACGTGGCGCGGCATGGGCCGACGCCAGGGTGCCAGGCGTGCAACGATCTAGCGTCGGGGGCGCAGAGAGCGCAGCAGAGGCACACGGACGAGCGCAGGTCGCGCATGGACGAGCTTATGGCGCGAGATGCTGATGCTGGAGTGCAGCATCGCCTGCACCAGGATAGGCTTCGGCGAGATTCTAGAGCGCAGGCCGGCGGCAGTGGGGCGCCGGCAGGGGAAGCGGTTAGCCCCGTTCCCGCGCCAGCCGGAGGAGTAGGTGCCAGGGCCGGGGACGCGGTCGGCCCCGCTCCCGCGGCAGCTGGAGGAGGCGCCAGGGACGCGGTCAGCCCCGCTCCCGCGGCAGCCAGAGGTAGCGCCAGGGCGAGGGACGCGGTCAGCCCCGCTCCTGCGGCGGGCGCCGAGGCGACGGCGCCGGGCTCTCTCCGTAGGAGGAGCGAGGCAGCCGTGAGAGCATCTCCCAAGAGGAGAGTAGAGGAGCCTAGAGGGCTAAAGAGGTCGGCTGGGGAGCCGGACGACGAGACGAGGGGCGACGTTCCGACGGCGCCTGAGGTTGGGGAGGGAAGCAGCAGCTCGGGCTCTGGAGTGATCCTCGCAAGTCCGAGCACGGATGCGGTCAGCGCCGCTCCAGCGCCGGACCACATCGATGGGGGCGTTCCCATGGCCAGCCCGGCTGGTCCGAACGCTCAGGCGGCGGACGCCGCAGACAGCGACATGAGCGCGAGTAAGCTGGAGCTGGTGCCACGCGTGGCGGTTAAGATCGCACGATCGGCGGCAGCAATAGGGTTGTCGAGCGTGGAGGTTTGGTCGTTAGCGCGTGTGGCGACGGAACTGTCGGGGGCGGCCATCGCGGAGACCTACAGCCCCAACAGGTTCACGAGCAAGGCCACCAGCTACGGGTTGAAGCCGAGCTTCTTCATCGACGTGACGGCCAAGCGCGACGACGACGCCTTCTGGGATTTAGGAGACGAGGAGGATCAGAGGAGGCTCGAGGCGATGCAGGAGGAGCATCG